TTTCTGAATTGACATTTCCTCTTCCTTATTCAAATTTCTCATATCTAAATTATTTAATAGCCTATCTACCCTATTTACCGATTGTGGATTGTTGTCAAAATTAAAAATGTAATAATCAACTGACTTTTCCAATTTAGGTTTAAAATTTTTAATTTTTATGTCTTCATCTCTAACATTAAGTATTTTTACAGGAATTTTACTTGACCTTGACTTTGTTAATGCGGCTGCTACATAAACTCCTTGACTTAATTCTTCCGGAAAGACTACATATTCGTCGTCATCTTTGACGTAGCAATATTTTATAATTTCACACCTAGCCGGTATTTCCGTATAAACTTCGTAACTTGACTCTATTGGTATTGCAATTTTCCAGTCATCAACATAAAATGAAAACAAGTATTTTTCGTAATCAATTATCGCATTATGCTTAGTAAAGAAATTTGAACCTATTATTCCATCAATTCCGCTTGCAAATTTATCTATCAGCAAAAATTCTTGATTGAACTCTATGTCATTTACCTTTAACTTTAAGTCACATGCACCTTGAGAAATTGTTGAACCTGCAATTCCGTTTATTGCAATTTTCCTGTTTCGATCAATGAACTGACATCCTACTAATTTAGAATTTGGAAAAATAACACTAACTGACGCTCCTGAATCTAATAAAAATTTTAATTCATTTTCCCCCTGTATTAATTTCACATAATTTAGATCATCTACATTCAGAACTGCTGCATCATCAAGTTTGCAATTAGTGTCTTGATTTACGAAAAAACGATGATTTATTATTTCCAGTATTTACATTTGTGCTTGTATTGCCGGTTTCCGAATTTGACATATAATAACCTCGCGAATGATGGTTTCTGTTATAACTTGTGTTATTATATTCATGCCTGTCATTATATCTGTTAGTATTGTTACTTTTATTGTTGTTAAGACCTCTGTAGTTTGTGCCTCTGTAGTTACCACGACTTCCAAAATTATTTGATCTAGATTGGAATTGTATTTGTGGATTTCGCGTTTGATAATTTTCAAAATTTCCCCGATTACAGGAACTATTATGCCTATTAAAATTTCCGTAATTCGATCGTTGATTATTTCTATAGTTATGATTACTGCCTCTGACAGTGTTATGATAACTTCCTTTATGCAAACTGAAAACTCTACTAGACTGTGTGGAAGCATTTTCGTCTTTAGATCCACGGATCGCTTCATTTAATTTTGAATAATTTCGTGCTTTTATGATAGTGCGAAGCTCAGGATTCTGCAAACCGTTTGCAAACGCATTTATAGCCAACTTTTCGTTTGTTTCTCTTAAGATTTGGAGTGCCTCACTATTTCCGTCGGCTTGAGCAATCGTCAGCTCAACAAGTAAATTTTCGACCTTTCTCCCAAAATCCTCAATCGACATGTTATTTTGCCTAATTTGAACTAACTGTGTGGATAAAGATGCGGCTGACTTTGTAGTCAGTAAAAAACGTCTCATATCCTGGACTAAAAGAGCATTTGAAGCATACACATTCTTTAATCTAATTTTCGCGCTTTCTGTTAACCTAGCTTTAAGGACATAGTTAGTAAGAGCTTGTTTCCCATCATTGTCTAGCAACGAATCATACAGTTCTATGGCATCAATCAGCTGTTTAGTGACACTTTCGTTACCATTCATCAAAGGCAACAAGCTCGTTGCGGTCTTTAAATTGAATTTTTCCGTCATTGTTGAGAGCCTTTCTCTGTTATTTTCTACACTAATATTATTTAACCTATCTTGTAAAACCTTGTCTATTTCGTCAATTAATTTAACAATATTACCTACATAAATTTTGACTTTACTAATGGTTTCAGGGTTGTGAGTTTCTTTATTGAAATTTGTCTTTAACGTCTCGAAACTTTCCGTAAGTGTGTCTAATTTCTCACATTTTTTAGTCACCTGAATATCCGTCCGTCTTTCGTGCGAATCTTTAACAAGGTTTCGCGAAAACACTCGTAATTCCTCAAGTAATTGTTTGAATAGTTCAATATTGAAACTCATACCCAGTTTTTTAACTTATTTTACTTATTTACTATCGATCATCAAAGTCATTAATTCGCCACTAGTAATTAATCTGTTTGCACCAAATTACACTTACTTTGACGCGATCTTCTCCCACGTTGAGCTGCTGTTGATTCCGCAAGTACGTGGAGCAGGAAGGAACGCTGGTAGGGCTCCTTGGGACGGGTTCCCGACGAAGATGGTGGCGGTAACTGACTTCTGCTGCTACGGGTGGCATCGCTGTTGTTTTCCTCTTAGACTGCTTCCTGGCTTTGGGATCTCCCAATTTCTCGTACAATTTTCTTGTCCAACCATTTCTTGCAAATCTTTCCCACGAACACGGCAAACAATCCGATTAAGATCACTACGATAGTTATTGTCGGGATCTCGTGCAACGTTAAATTTTCAGGGGTTGCTGATACTGAGTTCTGGACCTCGCCAGCATTGCTGTTTATGACAATGTCTTCCTTGGATTGCTGCGTACCCATTTTTTTCGGTTGTGTCCTTTTTACGAAAAGAGTTCTTCGATGGCAGGATCTTGGATGGCAGGATCGCCATGTAATAAATGTTGATTTCTTAGGATGGGACCATTTCGAAGAAGACACCCTTAACCTTTTATACCCATTTATTCACTCTCGATGTACAATCGTGACTGCTTATAAATTATCACTTCCTATTCTATGTTAGTTGCTGACTTATGCTATATTAGTATTTCGTAACTTAACGCTTACTCTACAATAACTAAATGAATGCTTACTGTACATCCTTTTACGACATTTTATTCAAAGGTTAGAACACAAACTCAAGCAAGTAAGTAAATAATTTAACTACTAATCTGTTGAAAATGTTGGGCATTTTGGGGGGATGCTACGGCTCTTTTGTAAATGGATGGCCGAAGAAGTCCAGAGGTTGCAGATTTGCACTTCGAAGAGGCTCTAAGTGACGCAGAGATGGCGAATTAACACATGCACATTAGCGGGGAACAACATTGGTAGAGCACTTACGGCTTCAGTATAGCCCAGATTGATCTGACTGTATGTCGTCGATCCAATGGGGCTCTTGAGGCGAGTCAACGATAAAAAAAAATGTTAAAAATTAATTAACGTCAAAGTGACACTGCCAAAGTCAAAACAGTCATGGATTAGGCATTTCATTTTAAATTTAGATAATATCAAGTGGTACAAGGTATTAGTATTTTGGGTTGCGTAAAAATAAATTTCAGAAGTAATTCTCTCGTGACTAACCTGTATACCATTATTTGATTTTTTGGCAATTCGATCATTATTATTGATTATCAGCGACATCTATCAAATTGGTGCCAAGCTCTCAAATAGATGAATTAATATACAGGGTATTACACGAATGAGTACGAGCCTGACTGAATTGGAATTGCAACCCACAATACACCGCCCTAGCTTACATGGATATTTTTTTAAGTTTGATCAATTCTTTTTTCAAAAATAGACATAGTGGGCAATTTTGACTTTTGTTAACTTTTGACAAAAAACGTCAATTGATTTGAAATTTCAAAAAGATTTTTATTAACATCAAGTAATTGCAAAGAACTGGGACCCTACTCTTGACTTCGCTGAGTTTTCTCACTGGTGACAAAAGTCATGTGTTTAATTTCACTAATTTGAATAAATGTCTACTCTTGACAAACTGTGAGATGATAAATCTCACCCAATGAGTTATTTCACGAAAATATGTGGCAACGCCGTGGGAATTAAAATGTATCGAACGTCGTCTTCGTTGATTCACTATTAAAGTCTCTCCAATCCCTTAAATGTGACATGTGAGGGCGCATACGTCGGGAGGGAAAGGAATCTGTAATGTCGGCTAAATGTCTGTCATGGTCTGACTTTTTGATACAATTTGACATCATGTATTTCTGTTTTTACTTGAAAAGGAGGCAAAATTTCGGTACCGGTGCCAAAGTCACAACGGCATGGGCGTGGATGGTCTTCAAAGGGATATGCAGTAGGAAAATTTTTCTTTGAGGTGTTTACATTGTTATCGGAATGTGTCTCAGGAATTATGAAACTGCATTCTGGATCACGTTTAGTGCTTGCTGGGTAGCTTGAAGAAGTAGGAACAGGTAGCGGTGACTTGGAACCATGGAGGAACAAAGTAGGAACAGAGCCAGGTTTAAGTCTTTTATTTGAATAATAACAACTTCTCTCAAAAGTGTTTACCACAAATGTATAAATTATTGGCAATATTATCACCTGAAATGGTTTTAATGGCTATACATTCCCTTAGGTAAAAGATTCATGTTGGGGTACCTACTTGTAGCATTAAAAACCTTTTTGCACCACAACCTTTTGTTCACAGTGTTTGAAGGGAATCTGTGCATTATTTTGTGGTCTCTAGGATCCTTGATTACCCCACAAGCAGGTACAGAGCAATATTTTTTGGACATTTTGATAATATCAATTCAAGCACAAATTGTTTTGCTGCGTGACAAAACGGATTAATTACAGGTTCCTGTAACTACCAAAGGGGGTGACATCTTTTGATATTTTCCCTTTTGACAAGTCGGACGATTGTAACCAATTGGAGAGACTTTAACAGTTAATCAACGAAGACGACGGTATCGAACTATCGAGAGAATAACAATTGATAAATGACAAGTGTTTTTGAAGTTTGGGTGCAAAAACTTTTAATAATCGACGATAATGAAAATAACCGAAGTACAAAAAGACATCTTGCTGAATTTTGTCAAAGGTAATCCAGATTTGGCGTCTGGGAAATTTTCCGCAACTTTTACAAAAAAAAAGGCAGAAGAGTTGTGGAAAACTGTTGCCGACGAATTAAACGCCACCGTAGGTCCGGAAAAAGAGTGGAAAGCATGGAGGAAGGTAAGATGAATTTAAACAGGGAAGAATGTAAATGATTAAAATAAGATTTTTAACTAATTTTAGACATGGCAAGATATGTGCATCCGAACGAAACAAAAGTCGGCGGCAAATTATAAAGAGATGCGGGTGACTTCAGTACCATCACGAATATTAATTTCTTCCAAATCTTCAGGTGGAGGAATGTTATTTTCAATGCACAAATTGTGCAAAACCACACAAGCGTTTATGATTTTTCCGGCTACTTCTGGCCTATAATGCAACACTCGATCTTTTAAACAACATCTGAATCTTCCCTTCAATAACCCATTGCATCGTTCTACCAAACTTCTGACTCTCTGATGTTGTATGTTAAAACGATACTCAGATGTGTTTTCTTGTGGTTCTGGTTGTACTGGTGTTAGCAGCCATGACCTAAGCGGATAGCCGGAATCTCCTGATAAACATGTACACAATTTAATATACATAACTATGTACACATGTATGTACGACGAAAATACCTAATAAGAAAAAATCCAAATTTCCTGTTTGGTGAATGCCACGTAATATATCCTGAACAGGACTATTATTCCAAATGAAGGAATCATGAATACTCCCAGGATATGAAGCCACAACATTCATAATTTTTAATCTGGAATCACATATCTAAAGAAATAAAGGAACGCGTTTCTTTAGTTACGGAGCAACTCGGAATTAGTTTTGCTTACCACTTACCAATTGGCAATTTATTGAGTGAAAACCTTTTCTGTTAACAAAAGCTCTTTCTGGTAAAAGTGGATTGTTTTTGGGGGGAGGTACAATGGCTATATGGGTACAGTCTATGCATCCTATTACTCCAGCAAATCCGAAATCGTTATAAAATCTATTAGAAAATTTCCTAGCTATAATTGGAAATAAAATGTACTACTTACTGAATTCTTTTAGTGTGAAGCTCTTGGAAATTTCTGGGAAATTTAATGACTGTATTTAAAATTTCTGGTCTATTCAGTGCTTCTGTAACTTCTCGGACACTTCGGCTTACACTTTGTTGGGAGACCCCGATGTAAGCATTATATCCAACATCTGCCTGATAGCTACCACCAGCATAAAAACGCAAGGCTGCAAGAACCTAAAAATTTGATCTAGAATAGTATATTATTAGCCAAGGTTGCAGAGCCAAGCATTCAAGACCGAGCGCAAATTAGAACCCGAGACGCGCAGCGTCGAGGGCTCTGAAGCGCGAGGTCTAGAAGTGGCTTTGCAACCGTGGTTAATATACTATTTTTTTCACTAGTAGAAACCATAAGACAATAAATTGAAAAAATAAACGTTCAATTTTTTGACGCAACATGATTTTGTTTTGATTTCTAATCAAACTTAATCTAAATCTTCAACACAAAGAAAATCGTTTATACTTGTCGCTGAGTTAATCATTTTATCTTCTACCGTCTACCAACTACCATGCGTATACTCAAGTAATGTTTGTAGCACACATTTGTTCTTTTTTTAAGAAATAATCACATCAAACATTGCGTACATAACCTCAAATTTTCTTTTTGAACCGGTGGTCGCAAAAGTTGAATTTGCTACCACTAAATGAGTCGACATTTGCATGCGTCCTGGCTGCTAGTGAAAAAACTACATTTTTCTTAAACGTTTACTTTTTATAGAGTACCTAACATACTTAAATGAAGACAGTTTTGTAACAGAGATACTTACCCGTGTATTAACAGCTAGATCTGTCGATATTCGTTTTGGTCGCATATATGGCTCCACTAAACTAACAATATAATTAAACAGTCTCTTATTAACCCTAAATAACTTGATAAATTGTTTTTCGGGCAATTCAGTTAAGGGATTGCCAGTACGTCGCGAAGGGGGTTCCAAATCCTCAATATTTTCGTTTAAAATATTTTGCATTATAAAATCATCCATTTTTTTTTAAATATTTAACCACCAAAAAAAAACGAACCAAAATAATAACAGCACACGTTAAAATACTTAAGAATGTAAAAAACACACAAAAACGTACAAATTTCTGCCAAAATGACAAATCTCATCGAAAAAATATCAACTGTTTAAAGTCACGTGTTTCCATGTGAGTTTTCTCACCGCTGACTTGAATCATTGTGTCAAGAGTAGACTTTTAAAAAATTTCACTAAAATCACGTCATTTCAGTGAAAAAAGTCACAAATGAGAAAACTCACTCGGTCAAGAGTAAGCTCCCTGATCGTTGTCCGCAATCTGCGAGCTTTAATTCTTGCACTAGGTCAGGTCAGGTCAGGAAGGGATGAAATTTGTTGACTTTAAAAATCCTTTTGACAGAGGCTACACTAACACCATTCTTATAAGACAGCAAACTCATTTTCGGGGCCGGTAGCTGTTCGCCGCCTTGGTTTTCTAATTGGTGGTCAACTTTTCCGTAACGACATTTCCAGCTTTTTAAAGATTTTGTTGGTAGATACTTTTCTCTGCAGATAAGGGTTCCACATACATTCTAGCTGCCAAAGGAGCGTTCTTTTTACATTCCCCATAAATGATAGATCCGTTTTATCGTTATCTGAATACATTTCAAATGCTGACAAACAGTGACAAATTTCTAACGCCCGGATAACTAATTATGTTTAGTACTATTTGAAATTTAAAAAAGGCATCCAAGTAAGTTTTGAATTTGTATTTTGGGTTGTATTTTTAATTTTTGCAGGCTCGTACTCATTCGTGTAATGCCCTGTAGTTTCCATCAGTTTACATTCTACAGGGTCATTATAAAATATTGTAGTCAACTCACCTATGAAAAACAAATGAAATTTTTCTCGTGCCGCTAATCACCAAAATGATTTGAACTGTTTTGAAATGTCACGAACGTCCAAACAAATCTGTCAGATGTGTCAAAAATTGAAATGCCCGGTTCGCGGTTTAATTTCATTTTAAATAGACACGAAAAGACGCCAGGCCAGAGCATTAAGGGTTGCAGTGTTATCGAGCATTTGTGAACGCCACTGCAATACATTTCAGTTTCAAAAATTGTAAATTGTCAGAAAAACGTTTAAGGGCTTTGTCATGAATTACACCTTGGAAAGTCGATTGGAGTTGAACAGAATAAATCATCTGGTCTGTTTTGCAAAGAAGCAATAATTTTTCAAATAATGAAATCCAAAAAGTGAGGTTAAGTTTGTCGAAACCAATGAACACGGTAATTATTTAAAAAATTACATTTTTATAGGTACCCTGAAGGTAAAAATTGTGAAAAATCACGTAATGGACAATGGCAGAGCAAGTCTTATCACAGTTAACGAACACTATGAGTACCTAATGAGTTTTTGCAGTAAATAATTTTGCCAAAGTTGTGATCCCGCGAAAGTTCTGTTTGTAAATTGTAAGGAATCGTCAAAATATTGGTGCAGACATGGTTTGTGACCGGTGCTTTTCTCTTGAAAAAACACAACTGAAAGCCTTGATCTTCATCCCTACAATAGGTGAAAACTGCTATGTCCAAACATTACCTTCAGCTTTGCAGTTTCTAGATATCTGAAACATGCCAGATCTGCATAACAGGAATGTCAAAGAGGTTCTACCCAAAACACGCCCACATGGCCATCCTAATATCAAGATTTTTCAAAATTTCTATAACAAAAAAGATGAAAAAACCAATAAAATTTCAGGAGCATAGTGTTAAGAGTTCTGTAGATGATTATGAGATCTCTTGAAACAACAGAATGTTTAATAAAGATTTTTAACTTTCCTAATAGTAAAATTACAATTATTACTAAACAGTAAGTTGAAGTAAGTTTTAAATTAAGAGAATGCAACTAACACCGAAAGAAAAATGAAAGTTACTGAAAATAAAAAACTTTATTGCAGTACCTACATACACTTTCTACATCTAATTTTGTTTATTGATCACATTCATTTACTTGGAAAAGTATCAGGCCTATGAATCGTCGTCTGGAAACAGCTAACCACACACCAACCTTCATTGCGTGTGATGGTGTTTCTTCAAAAGCGTGAGTATTTTCTATACACCAAATTCTGAAGTTCTGTCAGTTGACATAATAGCCTAACAGATGAAACCAGGCTTCATCAGAAAAGAACGACAAATCGAGAATCCCGTTATCGTCCATATCAGCTTGAAACCAACTACAATACCCAACGCGGCAAGGAAAATCAGCTGGTTGCAGCTCCTGAACCAACAAAATCTTGTATGGATGCATATGTAACTTCTCTTTTACGATTTTCTGACATGGGCTGTATGGTACTCCGGACAGTAAAGATTTTTGACAAAGCTTTATTCGGACTTTGTTCCATTCTCATCCTTAAATCTTCAACAACGTCTTCACTAACTTGAGGTCTCCCCGTCGGTTTTCACTTAGAAATGCTACCAGTGTCGTTAAATCTGGCCATAATTCGCCGTATAGCGTCTTCAAAGATTCTTCATCAATGACAACAGAACATTTCACTAGATACTCGTTTTTAGACGCCTCCACAGAGTACACTCCATCCCCATCCTCATTTAACACCCCATTACGGTAATAGGCATGATGATTGCGCCAAAGAACTAAAAAAATCATTTGTAACACTGACCATAGTTATTCCTCTGTGTTCATTACCTGAGATTATTCCACAATGATCTGTAGTTTTGATAAAAACTGTTTTTTGAGACACTAACTTATTAAAGTTCTAACAAAGGGGAAGACAGCACAAATGAAAACAAGACAAGTCAATTAACGCACAAAGTGAGGGAAAACGTACCAGTACAAACGAAAAAATTATTGACATCTGACAGCATTTGATGAAGCGTTGAAACAGTGCAGCCGTTAATGTCAACTAATGTGGCGTAAAAAATAAAAATTCCAATATTAGTGTAATCCTTTCCACAAAACTGAAAAAGGCGGCACAAAATGTCACCAAAATCATGGCCTTCTTCGACTACAATATTTTATAATGACCCTGTATATACGATAATAAAGTACTCCAAAAGCAAGGTTATGTGGCCATCAAAAAATTATCCCATTATGTCGAAGTTAAGTTGTTTACAATAGAAAATGTTTTAAGGTCGTAAATAACGTGTCCACTGCAGCTCGACCGGCTGCTATCGGTTCGTTTAGGGGAGGCTTTCACTAAATATCTAACTACCTACTACTACTACCTGCAGCCACAAAGAGTTCCGAAATAACCAGTCATTTTGAAAGCCAGCCCTGTTAAATGTGAGCAAGAAATGTTTAGAAGACGATTTATTGCCAACCGGTAAGCTTAGTGCGAACCACACAAATGAGGTCAACTACTTTTATTATGGTTATATAACCTTATAGCTTTTGCGCCACTATATATGTATTATTATGTTATCTATGACTTTTGGTAAAAATCATTCCCTGATTAATTGTTGGGGAAGTTTCCAGTACAGGATGCTTTGGCACAGTGAACGAGTGATGGTATTAGATTTGCCAGGTTGGGGAACCTTTGTTTGGTGTTAATTTTTTTTTTTGTTATCTCCATCCTTACAGGGTCGTAATGAGGCACTCACGGGCTTGTGTTCCAACATGGCTTCTGGGCCCCATCCTTAATAAAATGTAGCTATAACTCATTTCATATAAGAATGCAGTAGATATCTTCCTCAATGTACACAGAAAACTCAAGTATTAAATGTAAAAGTCTTTACTCGGGCAAGTCATATTTACTATCATGTTGAACACTTTATTTTAAACTTCCTGCGCTTTCTTATTTATTCTAAAGTTTCAATTGAGATCTTTTTACTTCCCGGGCGTAAGCAAAGGAAGTATTGTAATCGAGTCCGTCGCCCGACTTTCAACTTTTACGTTTTCTCGACCATTCATTACCCCTACAGGACGAAGAAATAGGTGTCCCATTTCCGTCTGTCTGTCTGTCTGTCCGTCTGTCCGGATTTTTATTAGACAGATAATCTCCGAAAGTACTGAGCCGATTGTTGTCAAATTTTGTATTTATATTAGGAATATCATGTAGATGGTAAAACGCTAACCAAAATTTCTGTAATAATCCCCACCACTAATGCGATGACGTCACTTCAAAATTGTACATGGTAAATGGGTTTTAAACTGTATAAAATAACGTAGTCCTACACATGAAGTTCATGCCTCCGAATTAAGTTTTTACCCGAAACGTCCAGATTTTTGGTAAAAAATCAAAAGTATAAAACAACATTTTGCAATTTAATTTTGAATCTGCTAGACTGTAAAACATCTGCCTTGAAATCTTGCAGATGTTTTACAGTTGTGATAAGCAGGATAAATTTTTATTCAAAATACATTTACTTGTCCCCTCCAAAAAGTTGATGACGTCAGCTTAAAAATTTCTCGAATAAATCGTATCTAAAATGTACAAAATATGATGAGTCTGTACTTGTAATTTATCATTCCATTCATATTTTTTGAATTTGCATATACAGGGAACTACAAAACCGAATGTCTTGAAATCTTAGAGAGATTTTAAATTTATCATAAGCATGGTAAATTTTTGATCAAAATGTATTTGCTCATCCCCCCTAAAAAATTGATGATGCCACCCCAACATTTTACTGAATAAATCCTATCTAAAATGTATAAAATATGATGAGTCTCTTCTTGTGATTTATCATTTCATTCATATTTTTTGTATTTGCATATAGAGGGTGACTCAAAAAAATTAATGAATGCGTAAATTTATTTTATTGATTTCCTCAGGAACTACAAAACCGAATGCTTTGAAATCTACGGCGAAAAAATAAACATAATACGCATGCCTGCGTCACGTTTCGGACAGCGAGGGAAGTACTGTCTAAACTCTTTAGACCAATTTTTTTATTACAATCTACTGCATACTTATATGAAATGAGCTATAGTTGATTGCTAATAGAAATAAACGAAGGGAATAAATGTGTTTTTTATACATTTTATAATATAACACAAATAAAAATGACATCTGAGTCACTCTGAGTATTCTAATAATTATAAAACGCAACAGAGATGTTTTGTTAAATTAAATATAAATCTAATAAAATATACAAAAGTAAACAAAATTATGTCGAAAGGATTTTTTCTTGCTTTTAGCATTTGAAAAACGGTTTATAAGCTCAGACGTATCTAAAGATCTAGCTATTTCGTTTTCAATTCAAATCAATGCTAAGAAAGATAGTCTACTTTGTGCTATTGCGTTTCTCAGATAAGTTTTAATTTATTTTAATTTTGAAAATGAACGTTCCGCCGAAGTCACCCGAATTGTTAAATATGTAAAACAAGCTGTAATTATTTCACTAAAACTACTACTTGAAAAGTTGTTGGTTACCCCCACTAAACAAAATTCGGTAACAAAACCGTTTCTGTAATGAAACATTGAAACTATGAAACATTGACTGTTTCACAACAGAAACGTATTTGTTAACTCAACAGAACACACAACATGTCCACCCTCAGAAACGTTTCGTAAGAAACGTTGCATATGTATACATAGATGATACGTACTCATATCGACATACGAGGAACGTTTCTTTGATGTAATGTTTGGGTAGGCTTTGGGACGTTGAAGATAACAAAAATTCTAAATTAGAAAATTTAATATATTTAACATAAAAAAATAAACAATATTCAAAATAAAAACTTCTATTCTAGGTGCAATGTAGATAAAAAAAAACAAAAAAGTTCTTCACGAGTGAAACAGCAAAAATATTAGTTATTGAAACTGCTGCTCCGGGGCCTTTGCACACTCCCTGGAATATCTTAGGCCCGCTTGACGAAACCATAATTTAATAGTGTCTTCAAACAAAAAATCAGATAAATCAGTAAAGCGCTTTCGTACAGCAGCTAAAATTATATATAAGGTTAAGAAAATATTACGTTTTCAGATAAAATGTCACCTTTTAATGCTGCAACGCTTAGTAACTGATAAATGGGGTATTTCTGGTTCCTGCCTAACCATGAACATTTTACACTAAGTTTATTTGTAAACAATCGTCTCAAACCTCTTTTGATCATGTCTATTTTGGATGAACCTCCAAGCAAAAACAACAAAGCCTCCTAAAAATAAAATATGAGTAGATTAAAAACCATTCACATATAATACTTGCTAATTGTTCTTGATGACCCACATCGCATTCTAATACTTTTTCGTAGGCTAATAGTTTGCGAAACTTTTTAAAAGGTTCTTTAGGCACTGTTTCACAAGTTGTAACGGCTGTTATTAAGCTTTGATTTTGTAACGACTGTTTGATTTCTTTAACTAATTCCTTCACTTCAATTATCGCAGCATATATCTGGCATTCAGCTTCTAAGACAAACATTATTTTTTAAAACATATCATTTAAAAAGTACCAACAATACGGGCATTACGGGAATTTAATGATGATGTTGAACTTGCGGTTATTGTTGATGCACTAACCACTGAATGACCTTCACCTTCGGCAGAAAGAAATGTACATACTTTGAACAAAATATCACAAATTTTATAAAAAAAATTACCATTCCCTGTTGCACTAGCTTGAACCAATAACCCAACGGGTTGTGTAACCAAATATTCGCCTTCTATTTCATTTTCGTTGTCGTTGGCTAGAAAATTGCAGGTACCAATTTAACTGTATTTATTCTATGCAGTTACTTTTTACTCACCTTCAGAGGCAGTAGTAACTTCATTTTGTGATGTTAAATACATATTGAATTTTAGGAAGTGGTGGAATGTCCTCCACAAAATTGGAATCTCTTTTTACCTTTAACTTTCTGCGGCCCCGTCCCAACGGTCTCTCTAGGTAACAACCCTTAACAATTAAGACGTCAAAATTAAAAAAAAAAAATAATTATACCATTTTCTATATCTGTATTAGACTCATTTTCCACACGTCGTTCATATCTCCTGGTTTCGTCGTACGTATCTTAAAAAAAAACTGTATTAACAGATACTTTCGATGTGATTAGAAATCTTACCACACTGTTTGAGCACTCTTACTTCAAGGAAGTGCCATGTACTATCGGGCGAATAATACTTTTTTACCTTTTTTGATACGTCTTTATCTCCCTCTGGCCAATAGCAATAAAACTGATCTTCAATTTTTTTAATCCAGTAATTAGGGACCGACGCAACTGTATTAGTTGCAAGGAAATCTACAACCGACCATTGTTTCTCGGGCTATAACAACATAAAATTTTAGTAGTATTAGACGCGACAAATCGTGGTTACTTACAAATTACGTAAAGAACACTTTAAAGCAACTAATAAAATTAGTCCAATATAAATAATAAATAAATCTGATATATAAAAAGTATAAATAAAACCTTATGTACATATATTAATTGAAATAAGGACTAACTATTATTTTACTTATGTAATTTCATTATTTTCATAATGTAAAATTGGAATTAATATGTTTTCATTGTCAAACGTATATTTTATACACTTTGTTTAATATTCTCTATAGACAATTTTGTTAAGGAATGAGACATATCTTCTGCAACTACAATATTGAAGACCCGATGCGAATTACATGGGTCAGTGTAATATTCTTTAATCGTTCGAAATTGTCTCCCAAAAACGAATATTCTGTTCGAACTAATTTCCTGACATATAAACTCAACAGCATAAAACATTCCATCGTTAGATAATACATAGTTATCTTTATTGTTTACAATAATTTCAAATGTTTGAAAAAGTAGACGTTTATAAAAGGTTCCCTCAATGCACAGAGTGAAATTCGTCTCGGTTTCCTGTTGCAAAATTACGTTTTCATTATTAAAGATGTAGTTACGAGTACTCCATTGTTCGTTACACCTATTAATGGCCTGTTTTAAGAAATAACGAGAAAATTTAATAGTTTTTTTCAGTTTATACAAATAATTTTCAAATTTGAAGGCACCAAAATCATCTAACGTTCCATGATTTTTACAATCGTGTACTAAATGAACTAAATTGTGCACATTATGTGTAATGTATTCGTTTCCGTATAAAATGCCATAGTTTTCCACAAAATATTGTAACAACTCATTTGCATACTCAGAGTAATTTTTCAACAAATCAGGGGAACAAAGAATACGAATTGCACAATGCAAAGACATAAAATGTACATATTGTGAACGAGAAATACGGTTTTTAAATATCATTGGTCCGGAATACAACAAAATTTGTCTAAATTCTGTTGCTTTGAATCTGTCAACATCATGTAAGTCTCTAGGTAGGCGAGAAAATTCCATAGGAACACATTGTCTAAAATTGTTGACTAAATCTGCAGACGCTGCTTCAAGGTCTATTTGTTTCATTCGTACATCTTTAGCGCCTTTAATCCAAAAAATTAACAACCGCTTAAAAACACCTAGGCACACCAAGTGCATGTAGTCTAGTGGCACTTGAGACACTAATCCAATGTTTAATCTCTCAAAAGGACTGTGGATGTTAACTTTATGGTAATTTTCGTCGACTTTGTTCTGAAAATTTTCATCTGTCCTAGGATTGTTACTAGTTTCAGGAAACGTCATTCTACTTTTAATTACTTCTCCTTCTTGCATGCACTTAGTACAACCGTGATACCCGGTGTGTCCTTTTACTCCAAGAATGAAGCTTTTGGCCGGTGCATCACATATTATTTTTGAAATTTTTGGAAAAAATTGTTCATTATTGATAGATAACCCGCGTAACTGTAAATCTTCTAACTCGTAAATAAACATATCCAAAAACATTAAAGAGTTTGGTTTGTTTAAACCATGGTATAATCCAGCCATGAAAGGCTTATTTAGAGCAGAATCTTTGGAATCTACTGACAATAAAATTGGCCAAAATTGGCTGCTAGAGCTCTTACATAATGGAAGACCGTCAATATTACAGGACAACGGTATAATTCGATCAATAAAAAGATTCTCAGGGGAACTTATATTTTCAAAAATTTTCTTTATGCTACTTTCGACTCCGAGATGTCCATATTTTCCTCCAGATATATCAAAAATGTCTGATTTTGGCGTACGAATAACAGTCCTCACGTCTTTTGGAAACTGATGAAAGCCAAATTCACAACAAATTCCAATTAAATCGTTCATACACGTTTGTGTTAATAAGTGACGATATTTTAAAAGCCATATTTTTATCTTGTCTTCAAAATTCAATCTGCTCGCTCCAAAACTGTGAGATTTATTTGAATCAATTGATGTTTCTGCACTACCTGAGATCAATGAAGACTCAGCTAAATTATAATTTGTATAATCATGAACTGTTCTTCCTGCATTTAAGTGAACTATATTATTTGAATTTGCGTTTTCACAACAATGGATATCACTTCCAGATTTAGTATATTCAGTTCTATCTCTCGGAATATGAGGATTTGCTTCAATTTTGTTTAGAGAGTTAAATTTAGATTTTTCCCTTGCAACAATTCTTCTGATGTGTCGTTTCGTTTTAAAGTAAAGTTTTCTATCCATATTTTCGATCTGTATATATTTTGTACTGTAAAAATACCGCACCCAAATACGTCAAACTGAAATTAATCTTATACGTACAATTGTACTTGTATTACTTGGAATTTGCAAAAACCCGGTAAATTTTTTTGAGGTTATGCAATCAGCAGCTATTGTGAAATAATTAAAACATATCGATATAAAAAATCTACTTACCAAATTACCAGTTTCGGATTGCCCAGCCATTTGACGAATGTTTGCAAGTAGGTAAGTAAAGCAAATAACTAAGTATAAGTAATTGCACTCAAACTGTTTTTTCACTGCAGCACGTGGGAATCCCGCCATCCCGCGAGTAACGGTGGCGCCCGCGCACTGTCCATACAGGTTATTTTAGTTTGCTAAAATACGATTCAGACTGGGTACCAAATGAAACGTATTACAAATATCGTTTATGAAGTGTGCCTTAATAGTTTCAAATATTGTTTACAAATGTTACGTTTAAGAGATTTTTTGTAATGTTTCATTTACGTCTCTTGCTTAGTGGGCCATAATGAAATGGATTTCAATTCTTCTCGAAAACATTGGCGAAAAGAGAGTAATTGTTGCATAAATAATCTATCCTGAAATATTCTCATCATAAATTTGATGCAGTCTTTCCCCCATTTCAAATATTTCTTGATCTGATGAATAAAGTAAATAGTGAGGTGTAATGACTTTAAAATTAGAAGCTATTAATTGCAGACCTGTTTATCTAATAGATATTTGCTGAAGAATAATATCTAAGGTCTTATAAAATATACATCAACTTTAAACACATCTTCATTAATTTCAAATTTAAAATACTGAGCGAAAGAATTTCTTGAATTTCCGCTCTCATTTTTCTTTTTGCTTGACCTGATTCATGTTTATAATTCATACTTTGCAATAAATTAATTGCACTTTTGCCCTTATGGATTATTAAATTTTTTGTGATGTGAGCGTTTGGAAGTTTCATTTAAACTAAAGATACTTGTGTTGGCTGATTCGAAGTGGAAACCGATAGCCCTGAAATAAACTTAAATAAACAAATAAATTGAAACAGTGAGTAATGCTGATAAGCTGATTTTGCGGGAACGTGAGACGTGAGTAATCAACCAACACGGCATGTATATATTCCCTTGAAGATTCCTTGGTGTACCGTTCTTTTCGTTTTCTTTTTTTTTCCTGTCTGACTTGTTCCATCGGAATTATTTTTTATCGCGTCTCCTTTTCTTAATTAAGCATTGTGGTTGGTCATCGTCAGCACCTTTTCCCGAAGCCCCCTTTCTCTCCTTGCGTGTTATCACGGATACCGTATTTTTATGCCAACAATGCGTCTTCTGTCTGGTGATTGAGATATGATATGTATTGGTGGCTTTTCTTCATTATGTGCCCAAGCTTCTACCGAGATGGTACATCTTCTTATTTCTATCGTTGTTGCAGCCCGCCGTGTCTATCTTGCACAGTCCCCACGCCAAGACAGCTGTGATGCGTCCAGCGATGAAGAGGTTCGTGAGTATACACGTATATTATTTCTTCCCTTTCTTTTTTTTAATCTGTCTCCAAAAAAAAATATTTTTTTTGCCGCAAGCCCTGGGCCTCCCCCAATTCCAATGGTACTGGTGAGTAATGATTTAACCTCCTTGTCATGTTCCTAATCTTCCCGTTTTTTTTTTGTTTGTTTTTTTTTCAGATTTTAAGCAAGTTTGTGAAAGTGTTTTGTTTTTGTTCTAGTCCTCGCGGTCATGGTGCACCTCAATCCTCAGGGCGTCCCCGGCTCCGTGGCGAACCCGTTTCCGGCGAGCGGCACCAGCCTTCGCCTCCCCAACGTGTCTTGATACAATACAGGGAGCTATTGTAGCCGCTTATGAATTATGAGAATGCATAATTTCTGCATGGTACGTATCTCGATCGTGTTTATATTAAAAATTCTGGCATAGCATAGGTAGAAATGACACTTCTAAATTTCTTTTGTGTTCCAGTTATGTTCAAGAGAGTGATAAAATTTTTCTCTATTGTTAATTTTTTTATTTTTCAAGCGGGCTGGGTGGTTAGCGGCTCTGTGCCTTGCTTCCTTATGTTTGCGTTTCATCGTGGTCTTTTTTTTCTCCTCAGATCACAACCTTCGGCCAAGGGCGAATCCTACGAGAGCTTCTCCGGCAGGCGCCGATTTCCACAATCCTTCCCCTCGACCGTGACGCTTTCGGAGGTTTTGGCGTCCCTGAGAACTCCTCCCACACCGCGGCCTTCGTTGGTTGGAAACTTGAGGCCACTAAATTTTTTCCTGGTTTAATGTTGCATATATGCAGCTATCGCCATGGTATGTTTTTTTTTTATTACTCAATTACTTTATTACTGGTGTTTGGGTCATCTTACTCACTACGAAAGACGCGTACGTTTTTACTGCAATTATATGCTGTTGTATAAATTTTATCGGTCATTTGTCCGTGGCAAAATTTAATTTCAAGATAAAAGAGTGAGAGAGATGTGTTTGTCTTACTGTATGAGTTTCGCACGTGCACCTTTGTCGCGCTCGAGGATGATTTATCGGAGCTGGGTGATGATCTCATCTGCTCACAGAATTCCGTTGATCCAGTCAATTAATTATTATCGCCAGATGCATTTTCATCCTCTCTGAATGAGTAACCTTTTTTTTTCATTTCTAACTTTACTAAAATGTCAGCACTGAACATAATTAAATCATAAACTCACTTTTAAGTCGTCAGAGATGATATCTGGATAATCACAATTATTTCCTTGTCAGTTAGGCCGGTGTCGAGGTGAATCGGTTTTATCAACAATTACTCAACCTGCAAAAATGTAAAGGGGGGTGTGAGCCATCGATCCCCAAGATTGCCAGATGCAATCTGCTACTTCAGTGATATTTATTACCAGCGAGTCCGTGTCTTTTTAATTCATTGATAATCAACAAGTTCAGTACCATTTTATTATGATCTGCATAAGACTGATTTACTTCACAAATTATTCAGCAATGGGCTCTGTCCAAGAAGTTGGAGTCAAAACGGTCTCTATCGTCTGATACGGAGTGTGCAATGAGTACTAAGGGAATAGCGCGCGAAGTACTCACCCTCGCTACCGAGAATGGCGACTAGTACTGAGTCGTGCAATGGGGCGAACGGAAAAAGGCGCACGACGCCCCCGTTCCAATTACTATCCCAGGTCTAGTAACAAAGAATGCAGGGACACCAAGGGAAAAACTGAAGACGCGCGAGGTGTCCACTTTGATAACCAGTCCTTTGACCACGGACATCAAGGGAAAAACTGAAGACGCGCAAGAAGTCCGACTGACAACTCTGTTCGCCACAAACAGACACTTCCCCCGCCACAAACGGGTGGCTATCCGCAACAACAGATAGTTCACACAAAGACAGGTAGTACCGGACTGTGCAATGGCAAGGGGGAAAAGTACGCGCCCTTACCGGCCCCAGATACTACCCCGAGTTGCCAGTTAGGTAACACAGGAAGGCGGACAGCTAATTAAATTAGCTCGAGATGTCAAGGCTCATTTCATCAATTATTATATTCTCAATTTCTCTCAAGTTCTGTTAACATTATTTGACAACTGACTCGGTATCACTTATCAATAATCAGGTCCAATACAACAGTAATGATAAGGAACGGACTCACCGAATTATTGCAAATTATCCAATTAGATTTTATGATTAGGATTACACCCTCGTGAAATCTCGCTCACATCACCACACCCTCAAAAAGCGATAACTCAGTGATAACACTCACCTCAACACTTTTTGATCAACCGTAACACGGAACTGTTAAAATCGTCTAAACCGGTACGCGTCCGTTTTAAAACTAAAATCTTTAGCCAGGCCTTTTTAGTTACACCCTCTCGAAAGAAACACAGCCGACCAATCAACCCCAATCAGGTCTATTTTTTTTTTTGGGTCACACATGTGGTTTCTGTTTCTATTTTTGCCTGCGACTGCGATAATCTGAGATTTGTTTCGCTCAAGTGTAAGTCGCCGGCCCACCTGCACCCCTGCATCGCAGGCCATTAGTAGGCGTGTGAAAGGACATAGGCCAGTTCCCAGTTTCGGGGAAATATATATTTTTACGAGCACCAAATTAGCATGAAACTCTTAACTGCATGCTTTTACACCCCAAATATAAAAAATATGAAGGGAAACATATGTTACGTAAAAATCTATCTTACACGCACGAAAACGTTTAATTATTTACCCGAAGTTCGTAACTGATCCAGAATTTTCCAACCATTTGCTTGCATGAACATTACAATTTTTATAATATTATTTAGTATTAAAAATTTTAATTTGGGAATTTCCTAAATTGTGAGTTTTCCTCTATTGACACATTTTTTTTTTATATATAGAGTGCATCTTTTTTAAAAGTGGCCATAGGGATTCCCATGTTGCTTATTAAAAAAATACCGATTTCTCAAGAAATTGATAGTTGAATCTAACACAATTTATCATGAAATTTTTGTCATTGCACTTTTATGCGTGTTTAAAATTGAACTTTTATGTATTAAAATTTTAGAGTAAATTTTCATAATTTTAAAACTGCGTTTTTTGTTCTTTATCATGTCATATTTCAAGAATTATTGAAAATTTTGTCTTAATTTTTTAACAGTAATATAACCAAACACTACTGATTCTAATAGTGTACCTTTAATGTACTAGTAGTGTCTTTAAATTACTTCCAGAAAAAGTTTTTCTCCGTTCTAACTAGAGCTGTGCGGTTAAAATTTATTTATCCCCACTATCCGTCCCATCAGGCCAGCAGTGCAGGCCGCTGCAGTCTTGCCTTCCTCGCTTCTCGCTTCTCATTGTGTATTATTTTTCATAATTCACATCAATCGTTTTATTGTCAACGAGACCGACACTTGAACATTATTAAAATTATTATTCTTATTATTTCGTGGGTATGGATTTTAAAATCATCAACTGATTTTCAGTGAAGATTATTTTTCGCGTAAATTTCTTCGCGATACGTAACATCGGCTGCGAGACACTGGTCTGCCGTAGTAGGGGTCGATTCGAAACGTTTAAATTTCGACCACACAGCTCTAGTTCTAACCAACCAATTATTTCTTTATTATTACCACTTTGTTCGTTTTTGTTAACAGCCCTCCAAAAACTACAAGTTTGGAAAAGAGCTTACGTTCGTGCTAAACGACAAGTTCATCTGTGACATGAAAAAGAGTGCCATCCGTGACAGATTATGCGAAGAGGCCACGACTACTACATTACAAAAACT